CTGCACCATATGGCAACACTTTTAACTTATATTAGGGTGAGGCAAAAGTGTCTTTTTACACAAAAATACAAAATATAAATTTTAATGATAACAGAAAACAAAGAAACCAAATGAATTAAACAACTTGAACAAAAACAAAAACAATAAAAGTAGGTACAGGGTTATCCACAAAGGATGAGACTTCAGAGACGACTGGACGAACTTTTAGCAAACTGTTTACAGTTTTGCTTTCCTGCAAAACTCAAACCTTGTTTCTTTTTTTCAAATAGTTTAGTTTTCAATTTCTCTGCAATCCAAAATAAGCAAAATAAGCAAAATAAAGCAAAAATGAAAAAGGATTTTTCCAATGGTAATACCTCCTTTAAACTTGAAGCTTGAAACGAGCAAAATTCGAGAGTTAAACTTCACATGTCCAAGGCTACAAAAAAAGTAAATGCGTATTGGTAAGGAAAATCAAAACTCCAAGTCGTAGCGTTGCGCGATCTTAATATCTGATTAATAACTTTTATAGACAAACAGCAAGATTCAACCTTTAATCATCATATTTTACATTTAATTAGTTTTGGGTTATCATTGAAGTCTAATCCTTTGTTGATAACCCTGTATATATGATGTAAAAAAGTTTACGAATATAAATAACTAGAAAGAATCGACAAATCGGGGACCTTATGTGCATTGTGAATTTTATGCAATTATATAAAATAGAGAAATTATGAAAATTAAACATTTTCCCATTTTTGATCAGATTAAGGTTTCAAGGGTTCCAACCCACATCGGGTATTGCAATCTGTGCATGAAGGGTAATTTGAAAATATGCTTACAGTTCATTTAAAGCCTTTTTCTAAACGATGTTGTTAAAATTCGATGTGTGGATAACATTTATAAGATTTTTAAAAATCAATTTATCTTGTACAAACGCAACTTGGCAGCAGTGTTATACGAGGACGCACAAAAATACATAGCTACATACCTCTTAATACATAAAAACATACATAAAAACGGCGCCGTGACAAACTCCTGAAAGACAAACTCCTGAAAGACAAACTCCGGAAAGATAAACTCCTGAAAAGACAAACTCCTGAAAGACAAACTTCTGACGAGACAAACTCCTGACGAGACAAACTCCTAACGAGACAAACTCCTGAAAATAAAAAATTCTGAAATACAAACTCCATAATATCAAATTTAAAAAAATGTTTCACAATTTATATTTAATCTAGCCGCAGCGCTCAGCCCAGAAAGTGTCAACACTTAACCTAACCCATGGCCGCAGCGCTCGGCCCTCTAGCCTGTCCTAGCCGCAGCGCTCGGCCCAGAAAGTGTCTTAACTAACCTAACCCATGGCCGCAGCGNAACTTTCTAGGGTTTTAAAGAGAACTCGCTCAAGTTTATATGATTTTGTTCTATTTGGTTCAGCTAAAGAATTAAACATATCCTGGAAGGAAGCTGGAAGGTTTTCATAAAAACATACATAATACTTAGCTATAACATACCTCTTAATGCATAAAAACATACATAAATACATACCTACATACCTCTTAATGCATAAAAACATACATAATACATAGCTACATACCTCTTAATACATAAATACATCTCTTAATACATAAAAACATACATGCACTCACAACTACAAATTGTAGGTTCAAATGATAGAATGAACAGTAAGAATAAGAGAATCTGAAATTCCAACCTTGTCTTTATAACAACCCTTCAACAAGAGAACAGTTTAATATTAAACCTTTACAAAATATAAAACTATCCAATTTATACTCTTTTATCCTAAGAAAAATAAAAACTGTTTGAGATAGAATGGTCAAGTACTTCTCTGCTTTTCATTTCATAACTGAGAACAATTTATTTTTTTATTTTTTTAATGCAGGGGGTTCCGCAGAGCCAAGGATGGTAAAACGACTGGTCGGAGTTTAAAGAGTGAACATCACTTTTGTATTATTTAATTTACAGATCTAAAATTTACTTATTTGAAAATCCCATTAAAAATGTATAAAGTTACATGTGTCACACTTGTAAACTCTGTTAACTCTCAAATAGTTAAAAATATAAAAGTACTGGCTGAAGTGCCCGACGTTGTCCGGGCACCCATGGGTTCAATAAAAAAATGTCAGCTAATTTGGTCTTGCCGTGTAGCCAGCTATAGCTAACGTATAAATATATATTACGAAGAGCTTTATTATAAAGATATTATTGCTAGGTAATGAAAAGGTCTTGTTCCTTAAACCTGTTAATTAGTGAGCTGATAGAAATTAATTAAAATTAATTGATTAATTTGAAGATAAACCCATTAACCAATTTATACTTTTTAATGTAAAGATAGATTTACGAAAATTAGATTTCTCTTTTAACTTGGAGTGTTCACAATTGTATATTTTGTTAAACATTTTCCATTTTCTTTGTAAACATGTTTTTTCGGATAAAATGTAATAACATATTTATTAACCCCCAAATATATTATCTCACCTTTAAAAAGATCGTTCCCACATCTGATTTTTTCTGATGCCTTTATTGTTTAGGTATGTAATTCATAATTCATACTTAATTATCAAAAAGCTTTTAAGGGTACTGTTGTAAATCGGGTATTGGCACCTTTTTATGGAGTGTCAGTTGAAATTACACGAACAGTCCCTTTAAAGTACAAACCTGTACCAAGGTTATAATGCAAGGAAAATTGTTTCAGAGGTGTGCGCATCTTTTGCACTGCACGGACTGTCTGTGAGCGGTAATGTAAACTCAAGACGGATGTCTAAGCCTGACTTGGGATCCATCTTTCACATAAAAAATAATCAAAGAAATATTCTGGTCATAGGAAACTATTATGTGAATTATCAAAATTTAATGCTTTTAACCTCCTCGGATACTTAACGAACACTGATGCATTTATTCTTGTTTACAAATTCCGCCCAGGGAGAACTGGTTTCAATATGTACGCAGAGTATACGCAACTGCACTTAACTTTCCTTGCCTTATAACCTTGCATTTATATGGTTCATGTTTTTAACCAATAAACGGAAAAACTGCTGAAAAATCCGCAATATTTTTGTTCATTCTGGAATGGGTATCAAGGCTTTAAAAGTTTCTCAACTTTTTTCATTAATCTCATGTTTATCCTCTTTTTATCTCGACAGTATGTGATTCGAATATATATGCAGTACACTAATGTACACAACAGTACACTATTGTACACTACAGTACACTATTGTACACTACAGTAAACTATTACTACAGTACACCAGTGTATACTACAGTTCACTACAGTATACTTGCAGTACACTATAGTATACTACAGTACACTACAATATACTACTGTACACTACAGTTCACAAATGTACACTACAGTACTCTAGTGTACACTACAGTATACTCCTGTATACTACAGCACACTATTGGACACTCAGTACAATGTTGGACAATACAGTACCCTGTTGTACACAGATGTACACTACATTACTGTTGTACACTACAGTACACTATTGTACACTACGCACACTGTTGTATAGTACAGAATTGTACAGAACTGTTTTTAACAAATGCTTTTAATTTGTTAACCTCGAGTTATCTTGACTTATTTATTGAATACATTAAGAAGCTAGGTCAATTAAGTTAAGTAATGAATGAAAACTAAATGAAGATATTCCATTGCTAAAAATATTTCTTATTTCACGTATAAAAATTTTATGTTACAAAACCTTGAGTTTAATGCAAAAAAATATAAATAAAAGCAAAATGAAATAAATAAACAATATTTATAATTTATAAATCATAATACTAGAGGGCTGGGGCTTTCACTGTCTGTCCATGATCGACGGTCAGATTTAAAATATTTATTTAAGTATTTAAGTATTTTTGTCAGCGAACTCGTGGTAATTTTCTTAACCTTTGAAGGAAGAATTCTAGGATTCTTAAAAATAATGGCCTTTCAAAATTACAATATAGAACATTGCATTTTCAATTCTTGATTTTCTATAGGAAAATAAATAATGATAAAAAGGTGAATAAATTTCTAAAATAAGACGGTATAGCGAAAACATTAAAACACTGACTCACCACCCCTTCCCAGCCTTCTAGATTAAACAAATATAACAAAACCAACTAGATAAAATTTAAAGAACAAAAATCTAAAAGAATTACAATTTATCTGTTTAATTATGTAATTGTACATTTTACAGTGAAAAGAAGAAAACTTTGGAAAAGGAAAACGACATCATAGCAATACTGAAGTGTGTCTTGTGTTCATTGGAAAATTATAAATCCTATCTTAATTCAAAAAGTCGTCTTCCTATTCCAGAATTGTCTAGTTCTTACTGTAAGTTTGCCGACAGATTGCTTTAGGCAACGAATGATGTTAAAAAGTTCACAAAATTACGGAAATAAAAATAAAATATATTTCCGGTTTACGCCGGATATTCAAAAATTAATCTGAGGGCTATATAAAAATAGATATTTTACTGCATACCAAGGTTATAATGCAAGGAAAGTTATTTCAGAGGTATACTTCTTTTGTACAGCGGTGTACTGTCTCTGGGCGGTAATGTAAACACAAGACGAATGTCGAAGCCTGACATGGGATCCATCATAGGAAACTATTATGTCCTATTATAGGAAACTTTTATCCTCCTCGGATACTAAATGAACACTGATGCATTTATTCTTGTTTACAAATTTCGGCCAGAGAGAACTGGTTTTAATATGTACGCAGAGTATACGCAACTGCAATTAAACTTTCCTTGCATTATAACCTTGCTGCATGCTTACTTATATATAATCATAAATATCTTTCTAAACTAAATAAAATTTGTCTTCCAGACAAAACAAACACAAAACTAACATAATATATATTGCAAAGTTAGCAAATAGAAGAAAAGACAGGCGGAAAAGAATAAAAGAGGAAAACAGAAGGGAAAAATAAAGAGGAAAACAGAAGGGAAAAATAAAGAGGAAAACAGAAGGGAAAAATAAAGAGGAAAAAAGAAGGGAAAAATAAAGAGGAAAACAGAAGGGAAAAATAAAGAGAAAAACAGAAGGGAAAAATAAAGAGGAAAACAGAAGGAAAAAAGATGGATCACTTCTGAACTGACATAACTAGGATTAATAAACTGCAGAGTGGGATGAAATTACATTTTTCCATATTCAAATTATGATCAAAATGAACTAAAAAATATTTCTATATACGTTGTAAAATGATAAAAAGCCTAACTTTTAGTTCACATTATTTAATGTAGGTGTACTTAGGGATATTAACGTTTTCATTCTTTTGAAAAACGATCGTTTTTATGAAATTCGTCGTTTCGTTAACGATCGTTAACGTAGAGAGGAAACCGATCTGAAAGGCATCTGTACTAATCAGTAATCATTGAGTAGTTTTTAAGAAAATGTCATAAGTTTTAGCTCCCCCACAACTGTTAAACTTCATGTAAGACGACATTCAATAAAGTTCCATGTAATTTTTTTCAACAACTATAGTTTTTCCAAAAACGGCCGATTTTATAAAGTTCGTCGTTTAGTTAGTTAACGATCGTTAACATAATTGTCAATCATAGTTTTTTTTCAAAAACAATCGTTTTTCAAAAATGATCGTATTTACAAAAAAATCGTACAAAAACGGTGGCAAATAGTTTTTTAACGATCGTTATAACGGTTGATTTTATTCTGGATTGATTGATCCACACATACTGCAGGATATATCAATATAATTATTAAACTGTTATTACTCTGCTTGTATTAGACTCTGGACTGAAGAACCAAGGTTTGAAGTTCTCCAAGTTACTCACCATATGATCAGAATCAGCCTGAACAAGATGTAGATCTAGTCACCGTTCACCTCAGCTATCAAGTGGGTTAATAGAAAAAAGACACCTGAGGCTTTTACAGATTCAGAAGGTAGATTATGTCTAGGACTAGCATATATTCCCTTTTTGAGAACATTCTATTTAAACTTTGTTGTGAAGTTTAGACTGAAAAAAGGCGTTTGACTCACAAGATTTCAGACAATCCAAAATATTTTGAGTTTTTCTGCTTAATTATTATCATTATATGATAAATTTATCAATTAGAATAAACAGTAAACAATGTTTTATATGTTTTTGATTTAGTTTTTTCCCCACTATTCGTCTACAGAGGCTGAAATATTAAAGGTTCAGCCACTTTTTATGAAATACCTTAAACTTACTACGATGTTTTGTTCAAGGTTTAAAATATTTTAGAGTGCATTAACCAGGTGAAGCCTAATTAAAGACAAAGTATTTCTTAAAGATAGGATGTTACTCTCAGAGAGTTTAATGGTCAGCTTTAGAATTAAAATTACTTAAGAATAGGCCATTTGCTTGCAACTTACTTTGGTTATTTTCTTCCAATTTGTTCATTCTATTTGTTAAATTTATTATATGATGATAATAATTAATAATCTCACGAAAACTTTATTTTTAGTCTTAACTACACAAAATAGTTTAAATGGAATTTACTCAAAAAGGGTTCGACAGGGATTTCCAGAATCTGTAGAAACATCTGGCGCCTTTATTTTTGCCACAAACTCAAATTTTCTAATCCCTACATCTTCGCAACTTGATGATGCCAACCTTTGATATTTTTACTACGACTATTTGATCTAACAGAATTCATAGTTTGAAATATCAAAGGCTACAACATAAGTTTGCAAAGATATATGGATTGAAAAATTAGAGTTTGTGGAAAAATCTCATTTCCTTTCTAGAATTTAAACAGATCAGAATAAAAATAAATAAGGAATGAAATTATTTGAAACTACCTGAATCTCGGTTAGTAATTCATATATCCTTGAAGTATCCTCAGCAGGGCTAATCTCTGCAGCCTCTACAGCCTCTACACCGTCCTCAGTATGTGACTCCTGAATCAAATAATATTATTCTAAAAGTAATTACTAAACCATCCTCTTTACATTATGTAATGTAATGTAGAGATGTAAAGGTTAAATCCCAAGAGAAGCTTGCAAGCAATCATATACCACCCTTGGTGTAAATATACAAAAATATCCAAACCAAACCATATCAATACACATATTATAATCAAGGTTTATATTATGCCTTAAACTGCCAAGTAAACTTTCAGTGTAACTGAACGCTATAAGAGCAAAATAATCCAAGTAGGTTTTTTATGTTAAAGGGACTGTAAGAGTAATTTCAAGTGATCCTCCATACTAAAAAGGGGAATGTCTGATTTACGACGGTACTCTTTAAAGCTTTGTTTGTTTGTTGAGTAAAGAGATTATAATTATTTATTTGTATAATTATATGATTTGTAGGGTGACCAGTCAAGCCATGAATGGCTGTCTTTAATGATTGACCTTAGTGTGTATACGTATCTAAATTATCAGCTGCAAATTCCGCTGCGTTGAGTTTAGACTGTACGCAGTTCACACCTGAATTTTGAGCTTATCATACAAGCGGATTTAGATACACGGTATCCCACGAAACGTGACAGTTGGTAAATAGTTTAGAATGTCTTCCTCCATAATTTATTAGGTTGTTTAATACCAAAGACAATAATAAAAATATCATATAGGAATCATTTTATAATAGAATTAATTTCAAAGTAAAATATCTTAATGAGCAATAGATTTTTTAAACGAAATAAACTGCATGAAGTCTTTAATATTAAATACAGTGTATGAAAGACGACATTCAAAACTATTTATTATCTGTCATGTTCCGTTGGACACCCTGTACGTTTACACAAATATTTCTGTACTCGACGAACACAGAAAGGTTTTAAGGGTACCGTTGTAAATCGGGTATTCCCCTTCTTTGTATGAAGGGTCATTTGAAATTACGCTAACAAGCCTCTTTAACAATATGTTTTCTTTCTGCTTTTCTACCTAGTTTTTAATTTAATTTTTAATTTTAATTTTAAATTAATTTAGTGTTTTCATATTGCGATGTGGTTCATGGTTTCCTACCTTCCTCCGCTCAAGGGTTTTCGAGGATTTCTGGGAAACCCTCAAGTAGCTTATATCTGAATTTTAATCCAACATTTTTATATTTAGAGAAAACTTCTCAAGAGACTTATATATATAACTTATTTTCATGAATTCATTGTAGACAAAACATTTACTGTACACCATTCAATATGAAGGAGAGGGAACAGGGGCTGACATAACTAGGCATGATCTCATAACAGTATTTTTAAGGACCAATGGGCAATGATCAGATGTCGTAACAAAATATTCATTAAATATTCATGAAATATTCATGAAATAAAACGAATATTAGCGCTAGTAGTATTTGGATCCAAGTTTACTCCAACAAGCATTTTGCTAAATATATTTTGGATATTTTTGAGAAAACATCGCGAAATAATGCATGTCATGACAATGGTTTTGAAAAAAAAACTACATAAGGTCAGTCAGAATTGTACTTGATTGAACATCGTAAAAATTGAGACTTGCGTTTTATTGTTTCTCCCAAATCCCCCTTCCCCTGGATTTAGACGTCTATTGAAATGTTTTCAACAAAAACCTTTCTTATTCTTTATGAAATAATAAATCCTACTTAAAGGAGAGAAGGCGGGTGTTAAGAGAGGGAGAGAGCTGGTGTATTATATTTTATTTTAGTAATCTTTAAAACTAGAAATCCACGCTACACCTCTAGTTCACATGATTTGAATTATAATTTTTTTACATAAGATATTATTTAAGACAAAAAACTTAAAACCCTGAAAGGCGCTAGTTTGGAAAAGATGCATTCTTTTTATGTTTGTAATTCTTTTAGTCATTAATTTTAGTTACAGTTTACAGTTTACACAACACATCCTTATACTGATACTTTAACTAGAAGAAAATAAAGAATACTCAAAAAAAGCAACAAAAAAATGCAAGATAAACATAACTTTATGTTAAATTTAGAGAATAAAGAGAACAGATATTTCTTAAAGAAAACAGGAAACACATAGATATCCGAGAATAAAGGAAACAGGTAGATATCAGAGAATAAATGAAACAGGTAGATATCAGAGAATAAAGGAAACAGATAGATATCAGAGAATAAAGGAAACACATAGATATCAGAGAATAAATAAAACACATAGATATCCGAGAATAAAGGAAACACATAGATATCAGAGAATAAATGAAACAGATAGATATAAGAGAATAAATGAAACAGATAGATATCAGAGAATAAAGGAAACACATAGATATCAGAGAATAAAGGAAACAGGTAGATATCAGAGAATAAAGGAAACAGATAGATATCAGAGAATAAAGGAAACAGATAGATATAAGAGAATAAATAAAACAGGTAAATATCAGAGAATAAAAGAAACATAATAACACCGGAGAATAAAGGAAAAGATATTATCAGAGAATAAAAGAAACAGATAGATATCAGAGAATAAAAGAAACTGATATATCAGAGAAAAAAAAGAAACAGATAGATATCAGAGAATAAAAGAAACAGATAGATATCAGAGAATAAAAAAACAGATAGATATCAGAGAATAAAAGTAACAGATAGATATCAGAGAATAAAAAAACAGATAGATATCAAAGAATAAAAGAAACATATCAGAGAATAAAAAAAACAGATAGATATCAGAGAATGAAAGAAACAGATAGGTATCAGAGAATAAAGGAAACAGATAGATATCAGAGAATAAAGCAAACATAAAAATATCAGAGAATAAAAGAAACAGATGGATATCAGAGACTAAAAGAAACAGATAGATATCAGAGACTTAAAGAAACAAATAGATATCAGATAATAAAAGAAACAGATTTATATCAGAGAATAAAGGAAACAGAAAAATATCAGAGAATAAAAGAAACAGCTGGATATCAGAGAATAAAAGAAAAAGATAGATCTTAGAGAATACAGGTAACAAAAAGTTCTCCAATAATAAATGTAACATATAGATTTCATACCATAAAGGTGACAAGTAGATCTAATATTGTAAAGGTATTAGATAGTTAAATAATTTTAGTGACAAATTTATCTCTGGGAAAAAAGGTATCAGATATATCTTATAAATAACTTGTTTACTACCTTGTGTTTATTCTTCATAACTTGGTTTACTAGTGCATGGAGATCAGTCAGCTTATTCTGCAAATATAATACAATATTATCACAAATACAATACGATATTATCACAAATACAATACAATAATATCACAAATACAATACTTGATCATATCACAAATAAAATAGAAAAATATCACAAATAAAATACAAAAATATCACAAATATAATACTTAATCACATCACAAATACAATACAAAAATATCACAAATACAATAAAATCCCATCAGAAATCAATACTTGATCACATCACAAATACAATACAAAAATATCACTAATACAATATGATCATATCACAATAACAATACAATCACATCAAAAACACATCACAAAAACATTGCAAATACAATAAAAGATCAAATAGTAAACACATTGCAAATACAATACAAGATTAAGTATTTTGCAATTACAATTCAAAATTAAATACATTGCCAATAAAATTCAAAACAAAATAAATTGCAAATATTTTAAAATAATAATTCATGGATGTTAATTTTCTTGAAAATCATTACCCCTACAAACTTTAAATGAACTGCTACTGTATAGTACTGTAATGTGAGCTGACCATCATGAAGCTCCAACTGTTCCATTCCTTTCAACACTATTAATCAATGTTATTTCATTTTCAACCGTTTAGATACTCCCAATAAGGGCCAATATTTTTAAACTTTGCTTTTATTTCATTTCATGCTATTATTCAATAAAGTTATCGAATATCCCTGTTGTTCTTTTATTTGTGTCAACAATTTTACTTTTACTTTCAAATTAAGAACAACAAAAAATTTAAGATTAAGATTTAAATTTGGTTGTACTGAGATAAAGATCTAAGCCTGGAGTTTTTACTAACTCTAGTAATAATAGTGAAAAATGGTGCTAACTTAATAACTTTGCACCTATATTCGTTCAATCCTTCAGGGAAAAAAATAATTTAAATTTTTTTTCTTGATAAAAACCTGGAGGGATTCAGATATCTTTCCAGGGGGTTTATAATTCTACTGGAGAGATTCAGATATCTTTCCAGGGGGTTTATAATTCCACTGGAGGGATTCAGACATCTTTACAGGGTGTTTATAATTCCACTGGAGGGATTCAGACATCTTTACAGGGTGTTTATAATTCCACTGGAGGGATTCAGATATCTTTACAGGGGGTTTAAAATTCCAATGGAGGGATTTAGATATCCTTTCTAGGGGTTTATAATTCCACTGGAGGGATTCAGATATCCTTCCTAGGGGTTTATAATTCCACTGGAGGGATTCAGATATCCTTCCGAGGTTTTTATAATTCCACTGGAGGGATTCAGAAATCTTTCCAGGAGATTAAAATTCCACTGGAGGGATTCAGAAATCCTTCCTGGTGGTTTATAATTCCACTTGAGGGATTTAGATATCTATCTAGGGGGTTTATAATTCCACTGGAGGGATTCAAGTATCTTTCCTGGGGGTTTATAATTCCACTGGAGGGATTCAGATATCCTTCCGAGGGTTTATGATTCCACTGGAGGGATTCAGATATCTATCACGGATGAAAAGTATGGAAGGATAAGAAGAATGATAAGGTTGGATAACGATGAAAATGATGAATTAAGGATGAGACGAATAAGAAAGATTTCTGAATACCTCCAGTGGAATTTAAAACCCCCAGGAAAGATAGCTGAATCCCTCCAGTGGAATTATAAACCCCCTAGCTAGATATTTGAAGCCCTCCAGTGGAATTTTAAACCCCCTAGATAGATTTCTGAATCCCTCCAATGGAATTATAAATCCCCTGGATAGATATCTAAATCCTCCAGTGGATTGTAAATCACCATGCGTAAAGTTTCAAAAAAGTGACTTTTCAAACCCCTCCAGTGAAAATGAAATCCCTCCAGTGGTCACCAATAGAATCAAAATCTTTCCACGAACTTCTTTGAGTAAAAAATACCTGAATTTTCATTTTTTGTTGTTTGCGTTGATGTTGGTACATAACTATATAATCTGCGATAGTATCTGTCTCCTCCTAACATAGAGGATAAATATTATTAAAGTATAATCCGCTATAGTATCCATCTCCTCCTTACCTAGAGGATAAATATTAATAGAGTATAATCAGCTACAGTATCCGTCTCCCCCTGACAAAGAAGATACATATTAATGGAGTATTATCAGCTATAGTATCCATCTCCTCCTGACATAGAGGATACATATTAATAAGAGGATAATCAGTTATAGTATCCGTCTCCTCCTGACAGAGGATACATATTAATAAGAGGATAATCAGCTATAGTATCCCTCTCCTCCTAGCATGAAGGATAAACATTAATAGAGGATAATCAGCTATAGTCTCTGTCTCTTCCTGACATACAGTATACAGTAAGAGGATAATCAGCTATAGTATCTGTCTCTTCCTGACATAGAGGATAAATATTAATAGAGGATAATCTGCTTTAGTAAACCTCACCTCCTGACATAGAGGATAAATATTAATAGAGGATAATCAGCTATAGTATCCATCTCCTCCTGACATGGAGGATACATATTAATAAGAGGATTCAGCTAAAGTATCCGTCTCCTCCTGACATAGACGATAAACATTAATAGAGGATAAACTGATATATATAGAACACATACTTTATATATTTCAGTTTAGAAAAGTATAAAAGATAAGAAGTGAACCAGTAAAACAGGGATATTTGAAATATTTGGTTTGGTACACTCGTAAGAATTTTGTATAATTGACTGTTTGTTAAAAAAACTTTTTTGTGATTTTATTGCCCCCGGACTGGCTGAAAACATGCATCTTTGGTATCACTGCTATCCCTAGTATCCCCTGTTTCCCTAGTATCCCTGGTTTCCCTGGTGTTCCTGGTGTCCCTGGTATCCCTACTATCCCCAGTTTCCCTAGTATCCCTGGTTTCCCTGGTATCCCTGGTATACCTGGTATCCCTGCCATCCCTGGTATCCCTGGTATCCCTGATATCCCATCCCTGGTATCCCTGGTATCCCTTGTATCCCTAGTATCCCTTTTTCCCTGGTGTCCCTGGTATCCCTGGTATGCCTGGTATGCCTGGTTTCCCTGGTATCACTTGTATCCCCAGTATCCCTGGTTTCCCTGGTATCTCTGGTATCCCTGGTATATCTAACCTCCCTGGTATATCTGGTATTCCATGTATCCATTGTATCCCTTGTATCCCTAGTATCCTTGATATCCCTTGTATCCTTGATATCCCTAGTTTACCTGTAATCTTGTGACTAGATGTTCTAGTTGGTCCTTGTCACTTGACAGAGAGGCAACTGTATTCATTGTATCCCTTGTACCCCTAGTATCCTTTATATCCCTAGTATCCTTGATATCCCTAGTTTACCTGTAATCTTTTGACTAGATGTTCTAGCTGATCCTTGATATCCCTTGTTTACCTGTTATCTTGTGACTAGATGTTCTAGCTGATCCTTGTATCCCTAGTACACTTGATATCCCTAGTTTACCTGTAATCTTGTGACTAGATGTTCTAGCTGATCCTTGTATCCCTAGTATCCTTGATATCCCTAGTTTACCTGTAATCTTGTGACTAGATGTTCTAGCTGATCCTTGTATCCCTAGTATCCTTGATATCCCTAGTTTACCTGTAATCTTGTGACTAGATGCTCTAGCTGATCCTTGTCACTTGACAGAGAGGCAACTGTATTCATTGCACTAAAAATAAATATATGATAAGACAAACAAGAATATGAACTTGGAGGACCTGTTACCGTAAAATCGGGGTTGAAAGTTCAGTTCTATCTAATTCAATATGAATTTATATTTTTAGCCAATATTACAGTTTTCTGCACTCCGGCAACCCTTTTTATATGACTAATTTTTAGCAGGTTTTGTCCTTAGACAATTTTGAATACGGATCAGTGGATTCGCATATTTTTGCGAATCCAAGAGATCCAAATTCGGATCCTAAGCACTGTTTTTTTTCTGTAATTATGTTAGTCATAAAATTATTGGACCCATTTGAATTCAAATTATTGAATCACGCCAATGCAAGTTGCATTCCTACAGCCAAGAATATCACAGCTCTGCTCAGAAAGCTCTCAGCACTATCTGTAGTGAACGCTGGGAAAGGTGTCTGCACATAGGAGCGAGGGAAGGCCAAGCAGCCCTAACCCATGTGCTCAATTAGCTAGCCTCCTTTCTTAACTACAGTACCCATGGCCGGGGTACTAAATCAAGAAAAAGGAATAAGAAAGAGCTAATAGGTCTAATACTAATCCAGTATTATATATCCACTCCACTAAGCGATTGGAGCCCTTTCTGGAAGGGCCTTGTCCCTGCTCTAAATGCACACTTAATGCAACACTTCCTAAGGAATTCTGCTGGACTGGGAAACAGTGTTAATCGTGGAGATATGGAGCAATTTTAACACAACATTTCTGATACACCACTCCTACAAACCCTTATCCTCATCTCCAACTCTACTCTACCTACTATCTAACCTTCTCACAAGCAGCGAAATGAGACTCAAGATCTCAGTTGGATCCTACAACAAAATTAACTTTGAGCAGGTTACTTGATTATCCTTTGTTGAATAGTTACCCTCCTTGTTTAGGAGAGTAAAAATGTGCGGTTAATAGCAGGGAAGCTATTGCACCCTCGCTGCAAATAGTAAACTAACTTTAAGTTTTATGAGTAGTTACCTTGCCAATGCAAGTAGACAGAATATGCAGAGCTGAGGCTGCAATTACAATTAAACAAAGCAAAAAAAAAAGAAGAGAGAGAAGACTCTATAAAATGAATGGGTGATCATGCACCGTCTAAAAATGGTGCAGACAGCGACTCGTAAACATTCTTTAAAAAGCAGGGATGGGCAAAAGGAGGCAAGAAAAAGAGAAACTGCTGACTGCGCGATGGAGAAAGGAGAAAAAAATGAACATTTGCCTCAATCATTTAAATTTATAAAAACTATTAAAAATAAAAAAACACTTTTTAAAAAAAGAATCAAACCCACGCAAATAAAAAACCTCATATTAAAAATAATGAACCAGTTTCTTTTAAAATTTTAAAAACAAACTTTCCTCCAAGTAATAATGCAAATTTCCTACAAGATGAACATTTTTTCTTAAACAAAGTTTTGTTGCATTTTAAAACAATTTGTTTTCAACATTGGTTTCACCTGTCAGTTTCACACAATGCATTGTCTGCAAATACACCATCATGTTTCTAAACAGCTCAGCATGTCTGGAGCTATCTTTGTATACACTTTGCTTGTTTGTGTCCAATAAACGTCACAGCTAACCCACCCTGATACCTGATAAACCGGTTCTCAAGTTGTCTCCAGGCTTCAAGATTATCCACAGGAGAGGAGACTTTGCCGCCATGTTGGTCTAGTATAACAGAATATATAATATGTATAGGATAACAGAACACATAAAAAGGAATAGGGTAACAGAATATATTTTATAATTATGATAGCAGAACACATTATATTTAAAAGGAATAAGATAGAAGAATATACTATTAAGGACATCTATAGTAGAATACATTATAAAGGAATAAGAAAGTAAAATATATTATAAAAAATAGTATAGCAGAACACATTATAAAGGAATAGGATAACAGAATACATTATAAAGAAATAGAATAGCAGAATACATTATAAAGGAATAGGATAACAGAATACATTATAAAGGAATAGGATAACAAAATGCATTATAAAGTCCAATAGGATAGCAAAATACATTATAAAGGAATAGGATAGCAGAATATATTATAAAAGTCCTAGAGGGTAGCAGAATACATTATAAAGGAACAGGATAGCAAAATGCATTATAATGGAATAGGATAACAACAGAATACATTATTAAGGAATAGGATCTAACAGAATACATTTTAAAGGAATAGGATACTTAAAAAGGAACCTCAAAATAATAGTAATGCCTGTTGGTTGAAAGCTATGTATATTTCTGTAGAATAACAAAAATATTGACGTTTTCTCTATCTTAAAATGTCCTGAATTCTCTCAGTTTTCTTCATTCATTCTGCTTCACAAAATGACAATTTTCAGGTAGAAAACAAGAATTCTGTGTGAGGTTGAGAATCAGGCATATTAATTGACAGCCCCCTTCATGTTCAATTACTACTTAGGAAGTAGTCAACACATGCTACTTAAAAATGTTATAAAGAAATTAATTTGAACCGTATTTGTGTTAAATCCAGGGGGTTAAGTGCGTATAAAGGAAGACCGAAATTAATTAACAATTAATCAGACGACTTTACAATCTAAGTTTACAAGTATGATTGATGAAACTATAATCACAAAATAGTCCTTGTCAAAATGTGGTCTGCCTTTTTAGAGCACTTGAAATTGCCATCGATATATACTTATATGTAAAGTGGTCTGATAAACTATCAATTAATTCCGGGTTTTGCTGATTATGGGTGTAACACAAGATATCTTTCATTTATGAAGAAAAAAAACTTTATATAATATCATTAACTGAACCTTAAAGAATATTAATAAGAACCTGAAAGAATGGCTGGATTTCCGTTTGCTACATCAACACTTTTAGTAACATCGCCAGAGGCAATCTAAGAGAAAAAAAATTAAGGGGTATATCTATATAACTAGCTAAAGTGTCAGGTTGCCCGTAGAATTTTATTTTTTGAATTTAAAAAAAATTTGATTTATATTTTTTGGAATTTTTTAGCCTTTGTTACTCCCCGAGCACTCATGGGTTCCCTCCAAAATGTTAACCCATTCGGTCCAGCCGTTTGGCCAGCTATAGCTAACATATAAATATATATATATATACATATTTCGTACATCCAAATATATGTACTTACATAAGTGAAGAGCTTTATCATATAGATAAAGCTCTTCACTGATACAGTGGGACCCCTGTGTGTTTTCAATCTACATATTCTGCCCCTGTGTAAAGGGAGTACAGTGGGACCCCTGTGTTTTCAATCTACATATTCTGCCCCTGTGTAAAGAGAGTACAGTGGGACCCCTGTGTGTTTTCAATCTACATATTCTGCCCCTGTGTAAAGGGAGTACAGTGGGACCCCTGTGTGTTTTCAATCTACATATTCTGCCCCTGTGTAAAGAGAGTACTTTTAACAAAGTAATACTAACAAATCAAATTGTTGGAAATATCAAAACCAAAGTTGTTTATTGAATTAAAATAAGTCAAATCAAATCAAATCAAATCATTTATAAAACAAATTATTAGGCCACAAATTATACAATGTACATACATATAAATGCTAATTAAAAATAACAAACAATTATAAATATATTGTGGCCGGGGAGCTACAAGATAGCTCAGGCTGTTTACACATGTGCTCCCCTGGTTCAGCATAATTACGATAAGATTTAAACAATTTTCTATGTGCATGAATGGAGCACATAAATGGCGGAGTGTAGCAGCAGTGGCGGTTGGAGAGCAGGAGGCGGAGAAATGGCATCAAACTAATCAGTCAGGAATAAAAAAGTTAAGGGTTCAATAATGTTTTAGACGGTTCTTGATCAAGAAACATTTTTAATACATGTTATTTTGATCAGGATAAAAGATCAAAATAAGATTAATATTTCTTTGGACAAGAATACATATATATGATAATTCAATATATGTATTGAATAAGCACGAATAAATATGAACAGATCATATTTCAGACCATAAAACCCCAACCTAATCTAAGTAATTAAAGTTGAACAAGTATAGCAAAATAGTCGGTTGCATTCAAAGTTCGATAATCTATCCAGAAAAAGTTGCCTAAGTTTATATTTAAATTAATTTTTGCTAGCAATACAAGACAAATCTGGGTCAAGTTCATTCCAACAGATTGTGAAGGAATACAGAGGAAATCTATTTAAAAATAAATTTTACATAAATTTTTTAAGTGGTTTGAGTACAGTTTATTTAAAAATCCGTTTGTTTGCTATTTTTCTTAAATTCACAGAACCAAAAGTGTTTGCAGATTTCAAAAAAAGCATTTTTCAAAGCTCATTAATAATGAAAAACAAAAATTTTCAAGCATTCTCAAACTAAGACAGAATATCCTTGTGAAAGATGCAAATTAGAGGAAGGTTGGTCAGTAAAAGCACAGATTAGGGCGCCCCACAACATTAGGGACTTATAATTGTAAAAAAATTAACTTATTCTGTCTTAATTACCCCCTTTTTTCAACCAATTTCATATTTCAACTAGCAGACCTTTCCCATATGTCCCAAAATCCAACCAAATCTTAAGTACCCAAGTGATGACAAAGCCCCCTATAAGGAGCCTATGTTGACCTCGAATTTCTACAAAAGCTATTTAAGGAAAAACAGTGCTTAGGATCCAGATCTGGAACTGTCGGACCCGCAAGATTTTGGCTTCCTGGATCCGGATCCGGATCTCGGGGGCAAAATATCAACCAATAACTGCAAAAAAACCCTTTTTACTCTCAAAACCCAAATCTGAACTATTGAAAAAAGAGAGAATATTAAAATTTCCTGATTTCTGAATAGTTCATCAAGTTTTAGCATAACAATAGGCGAAAAAAATAAGATAAAAAATTTGAAATTTCTGCTTTGTTAAAAAAAATTCAGTAAATCTTTAAGAAATGACACAGATCCTGATCCGCATAAGAATTAAATGGATCCTAAACACTGAGAAAAAATATTTTTGGTCTGTTGCAACCCTGAACTGGACAGAGGGGTGGGAAAAGGGATTTCTCCTGGAAGGATTGTTGTTCTTAACTGCAAGAGAGAGGATAAATGGATCAGGTTAGGGTTAGGGGGTTACGAATTTTGCAAAAATCGTAAGCAGTTCTCTAATAGGTCTTTTCAGATTACTGATTGGGTTAATTTAAAAATTCTTAAAATGGTTAGGCCTTTTCTTGTCCATGGAAAAAGAACAAATTCAGAAAGTAAAATTGGGACTTTTTTCTGTACAAGAAAATGCTCCCAGTACTGCTTCCAGGCACTACAAGGGTTGGCTAAATCCCAAGGGGGTCAATCAAGGGTTGGCTAAAGCCCAAGGGGGGCAATCAAGGGTTGGCTAAAGCCCAAGGGGCTCAATCAAGGGTTGGCTAAAGCCCAAGGGGGTCAATCAAGGGTTGGCTAAAGCCCAAGGGAGTCAATCAAGGGTTGGCTAAATCCCAAAGGGGTCAATCAAGGGTTGGCTAAAGCCCAAGGGTGTCAATCAAGGGTTGGCTAAAGCCCAAGGGGGTCAATCAAGGGTTGGCTAAAGCCCCAGGGGGTCAATCAAGGGTTGGCTAAAGCCCAAGGGGGTCAAATACCCAACTCTCATAAATGACACTGAAAAACCTTGACCTAAACCCTTTTGAAACCTCTGAAGTTTTTTCAAGAGAAAACTAAATTAGAATTTGACACAGTTGGAGAGTAAATACGACCTTTTGCATGCAATCAAGGAGACTTTTTTCTGGACTGACTGTAAAGTAGAGCCAAGCACTGAACTTCTCAATGGACAGGAGGTTTTTGATGGTCATCAGAGAGGACAGAGGTCACATTTTAGGAAAAAAATCAAGAATTTATAGTAACTTTGAAAGACCACCCTTGAAAATTCAGATTTTTATTTTTTCAAATATGTGTTGTTGTTAACTATTTATAATGACATTGTGCTCGTTATGTAACTTTATGAACTTTATGCAACATTGTGCTCGTTATGTAACTTTATGCAACTTTATGTAACTTTTTGATATGTAATTATTTGCAACTTTTTGTAACTTTTTGTTATGTAAGTTTATGTGTAGAAGTCATTTTGCGTAATCTGCAAACACTTTTGGTTCAACATATTTTAAACCTTTAATCTATTGTAACAGTGGGCGAGTTTTGTTGATCTTTTACGATCAGCAATTCAAGGATTTTTTGGATCGCTGAGATCATAGCTACCAAGGGGAATCATGCCCCCTTTCCCCCCCCCCCATCTTTAACCCTACGGTTGGACTTTAGAGTCCTATTTTGAATCCTAACGGATTTATTTGAGTTTGCATTTGGATTCTATAAATAACCCAAGCGACGCCGAATTTTCCGTTATCTTGAAGACCCAAGCGTTGGGGAGGGGGCGGAACAACCCCGGGGTAGCTAGGGTTAAATGCGATCCTAGGATGGAGCAAAATCGAAGGGGGACAGGGAGTTGTGATTCAGCTCCCTTGAATTAAGGTTCCCTTGAAGAATTCCCCTATTTGATGAAGCTGATTTGATTAACAATATTTAGTTTGTATAAGTGAGACGATGAAAATGAAAATGTAAAATGTCTCCTGTTTGATGGAACTGATTAGATTCATAATATTTAGTTTGTATTAGTATCGTTCGATTTAAAGTTTGTATCTTTTGTATATAAATATATTGTAAGAAAAACCGACTCGTTGAATATTTGAGAAACTCAGTGCATTGCTTTATTGATTTTTATTCATATACTATACTATCACTAAAGTGAAGTTTTTTCAAACATCGTCGTCAAAAATATTAGTTTGTTCGTTCTGTCTAACAAAGGAAAGCATAAACATAAAACATAAAGTAAAACTGTTCCCTTTCTTTAATCATCTTAAGCCATTAAACAACCCATCTCTAGTAAAATTTTGGGTCGCACTGTATATATGTATAGATATTTATATGTTAGATATAGCTGGCCAAACGGCTGGACCAATTTGACTGAAAAAATGTTTGCACTTTGCATAGATAGCCCTAATACACTCATTTCTTCAAGATCACTAATTATATTTATATACATACCTTAGGTAGATTTAAAAATGAATTATCCGAGGAGGGAGGGGAGGAGGAGGAGGATTTTATCTTGTCAACCTAAACAATAAAATAATTGGGAAAAATGTGACAAAGAACTACTAGTAATACAAGAATACACACTCAACTAGACAGATGGAGATGGTCAAATTTATACGACATTACTGGTACGACGTAGTGACCTTCAAGTGCCTCATGTTTTGGTTTGTCGAATAAATATGATATCAGCAAAGTTATCCGGTTAAATATAACAAATTAAAAACATTTTTGTTCTCCTCCATACCTATTTTATAATAGGAGATATGATTGAAAATATGTAAGATTTTAATGTTTAGTCTTATACTTAAGCTTGACGTGACTATTCAAAATTTAGTTTTATAAAGAATTATAATCAAGTAATAGAATGAACACACAACACAACTTAACACATTTTTCTCTCAAAAAAAATTGTTTTCAGCATTTTATGAGTTTCCGGATCAAATACCTTGTATAAAAATAGGTCATCTCATATATCATATATTTGTATGTATGAATGTGTGTTAGCTATAGGTGGCCCTCGTATTATTAGTATTATCTTATCTCTAATATTATTACTAAGTATTATTCTCTAGTATTAACCCCTAGAATTATCCCCCTAGTGTTATTCCCTAGTATTATCCCCTAGTGTTATCCCGTAGTATTATACCCTAGTATAATCCACTAATGTTATTCCCTAGTATTTTCCCCTAGTATTATTCCCTAGTATTATCCCCTAGTATTATCCACTAGTATTATCCCCTAGTATTATTCCCTAGTATTATCCACTAGTATTATCCACTAGTATTATCCCCTAGTATTATCCCCTAGTATTATCCACTAGTATTATCCCCTAGTATTATTCCCTAGTATTATCTCCTTGTTTTATCCCCTAGTATTATTCTCTAGTATTAACCCCTAGAATTATCCCCCTAGTAGTATTCCCTAGTATTATCCCCCTAGTGTTATTCCCTTAGTGTTATTCCCTAGTATTATCCCCTAGTGTTATTCCCTAGTATAATCCCCTAGTGTTATTCCCTAGTATTATCCCCTAGTAGTATTCCCTAGTATTATCCCCTAGTGTTATTCCCTAGTATTATCCCCTAGTATTATTCCCTAGTATTATCCCCTAGTGTTATTCCCTAGTATTATCCCCTAGTATTATTCCCTAGTATTATCCCCTAGTGTTATTCCCTAGTATTATCCCCTAGTATTATTCCCTAGTATTATCCCCTAGTGTTATTCCCTAGTATTATCCCCTAGTGATATTCCCTAGTATTATCCACTAGTATTATCCACTAGTATTATTCCCTAGTATTATTCCCTAGTATTATCCCCTAGTATCATCACCCTAGTGTTATTCCCTAGTGTTATTCCCTAGTATTATCCTCTAGTATTATCCCCTAGTGTTATTCCCTAGTGTTATTCCCTAGTATTATCCTCTAGTATTATTCCCTAGTATTATTCCCTAGTATTATCCCCAAGTATTATCCCCTAGTATTATTCCCTAGTATTATTCCCTAGTGTTATTCCCTAGTATTATCCCCTAGTGTTATTCCCTAGTATTGTCCTCTAGTATTATTCCCTATTATAATCATCTAGTATTATTCTCTAGTATTATCCCCTAGTATTATCCCCTAGTAGTATTCTCTAGTATTATCCCCCTAGTGTTATCCCGTAGCATTATCATTTACCTGTATAAATGAATCAGAAGAAACGGAAAGGGTTGAGTTCCCATGATCAGAACTATTACTACAATTATACTTAATTAGTTTATTACTATTATTACAATTATTGTATCATCATACGAGCTATACGTACTACCTGGAGGCAAGGCAGGATCTAAAATCGTCCAACCTATCATTTTATTTTTATTACTATCATTAATTCTTTTAATGGTTAACCAGGAACTATGAGTACTATAAACTGGTTAACCAGGAACTATGAGTACTATAAACTGGTTAACCAGGAACTATAAGTATTATGAACTGGTTTACCTGGAACTATGAGTATTATAAACTGGTTAACCAGGAACTATGAGTATTATAAACTGGTTAACCAGGAACTATGAGTATTATAAACTGTTTAACCTGGAACTATGAGTATCATAAACTGGATAACCAGGAACTATGAGTACTATAAACTGGTTAACCAGGAACTTTGAGTATTATAAACTGGTTAACCAGGAACTATGAGTACTATAAACTGGTTAACCAGGAACTATGAGTATTATAAACTGGTTAACCAGGAACTATGAGTACTATAAACTGGTTAACCAGGAACTATGAGTATTATGAACTGGTTAACCTGGAACTTGAAGGGCTTCTGCTTCTAGACTCCTGACCTGTTCTACTGCTTGGAGACCTACTCTCAGAACACTCTCGAGTTCTAAAATAAATAAATAAATAAATAAATGAATGAATCAATCAATCAATCAATCAACACCCCCTTAGTTCCAGGCCTGGATGAATGCCTATTGACGAACCTACTGGATAGAACCTCCAACTGACTTCTAAGTTCACTATTGATAGAATGAAGACCTCTAATCTCCTCTGTAGCTCGCTGAAGGTCAGCTAGTGTCAACTCTAACTGCTTTAAGTCTGTATCTACTGTAGCAGTGGTATACTCAGGAGAACTGAAAATAAGAAGATATTTTATACAAAACTCAAATAAAATCGAATTATGGATAAATAAATCAGTATTCCAAGGATAAGGGATAAAAGTAGTAATTATTTCAGCGGTATAAACCATCACTAGGGGTTTGTAATAATATTGGAATAATCATAATAATAATAAAAACAATGTTTGTAGTAAAACAAAGATGATCATATTTCACATATTCACTTTTGTATTGATGGATTTCATTTTCTTCCTTTTCTAACAACAAAAGAATGTAGTTATTGTTATAAATATTTGCTATTTTTATTGTTATATATATTTGCTATTGTTATTCAAATTTTAAGTGTATTTGTCCACTGAGGAAGCAAAACATTTAATACTAAATTATTATTCAATACTAGCTGAAAGGCCCGGCGTTTACCGTGGAATTTTTTTTTTAGTTTTAAAAAAAGATTTTCAGCCTTTATTACGTCCGGCCACCCATGAGTGTCCAAAAAAAATTTCAGCCCAATCCGTCCAGTCGTTTGGTCGGCTATAGTCAACATATATATATATATATTTGTCTTGTTTTATTATATAGATTATCTTACAAATCTGAAAAGGGAGGTTGTTTAAGAATAACTTGGAGAAATTCCATTTATTTATTCAAAGCGGTTAATTCTGTGTTTTATGTATTTACTTTTTATTTTTAGAAAAGTCTGAAGGATTGAAAATAAAATGTATGTTTTATCATTAATTTACTAAATTGGATTAATAACAGTAAATGAACTTAGAAAAGATAAATTACAGAAATGAATGGAAACAAAATCTGGAAAAATATTATGATAAAATGAAAGATGAGAAAAATACAAAACAAGATCAAGTTTCAATATCAGATTCTAATCAATACAGCCCCAGAACATTAAAATAAACAAATAATTATAAATAATGAACCGAATGAATGGTATAAATAATGAACTGAATGAAGGGTATAAATGATGAACTGAATGAAGGGTATAAATAATGAACTGAATGAAGGATATAAATGATAAACTGAATGAAGGGTATAAATAATAAACTGAATGAAGGGTAAAAATGATGAACTGAATGAAGGGTATAAATAATGAACTGAATGAAGGGTATAAATGATGAACTGAATGAATGGTATAAATAATGAACTGACTGAATGGTATAAATAATGAACTGAATGAAGGGTATAAATGATGAACTGAATGAAGGGTAAAAATAATGAACTGAATGAAGGGTATAAATAATGAACTAAATGAAGGGTATAAATAATGAACTGAATGAAGGGTATAAATGTTGAACTGAATGAAGTGTATAAATGATGAACTGAATGAAGGGTATAAGAACTAACCTATTCCCCGGCTGAGAAACAGATTCAAGATATTTTATCTGATTCTTCATACTAGAGATAGCCACGTCTCTTTCCCTTAACAATATTCATTATTAATTATTTGTTTCCAGCACTTCGGGGTTGTATCCCCCTCCCCCCAGCTCGTGGTTGAACCCTCCTCCCCCAGCTCGGGGTTGAACCCTCCTCCCCCAGCTCGGGGTTGAACCCTACTCCCCCCAGCTCGGGGTTAAAATAAAAAGATAAAAAAATTCTTCAAAAATATAGTTTATAAATTTTGACATTTTAACATATGAATCCCGAAAAATCTGTGAAAGCTGTTATTGTTCAACAATGTACAAAGGGGAAGCTAGAACAATGTTGTTTGAAAAGTATAACTATGCAAAAAAATGATAAATACGTATTATCTATATAAGCGTAAAAAGCTTACTATATATATTCAGAGTGGCCAAAACTTTTTTGAAAAAATCCGTACAAAAATCCGTACATTTTCAGAACAAATCCGTACAATCCGTACAATTTTCGAAAAAAAATCCGTACAATCCGTACAATTTTCGAAAAAAATCCGTACAATCCGTAAATTTTTTGAAAAAATCAGTACATTTTTTAAAAAATCCGTTACATTTTTTAAAAAATCTTTAAAAACTGTCTCCCCCCCCCCCCCCATCTCTTAACTCCCCCCACCCTTCCCTCAGCAACCAATGATGTTCCCTCTAACAACCTATATTCCTGGTAGTAAAAACTACTGTAGGTATTTGAATGCTTGGATGAGAACCCGGAAATAATGAAAAAATAAGATCAACTGAAGAAACTCAACTTAAACTCAATTTTAAAATCCATTTATCTTTGCAACCTGAAAACCTTTGGTTTTTAAAACGAAGCCTAATTAATCTGGCAGAATTCCCAGCTTATAATAACAAAAGTCTACCAAAAAAGATATAAAACTTAAACATTACTATTAAACACTAGAGAGCTGGAGAACTAGAGAAATTGAGAGCTAAAAACAAGAGAACAAAGGAACTTAGAACTTAGAACTAGAGAAATAGATAACTAGATAACTAGAGAACTAGAGAAATAGAGAGCTAGAGAGCTAGAGAGCTAGAGAACTAGAGAACTAGAGAGCTAGATAATAGAGAACTAGAGAACTAGAGAACCAGAGAACCAGAGAACCAGATAACCAGAGAACCAGAGAACCAGAGAACTAGAGAACCAGAGAACCAGAGAACCAGAGAACCAGAGAACCAGAGAGCTAGAGAACTAAAGAGCGTTGATTCTAATTCTAACTGTTTAGATCAGTGTGTAGGCCATTTAACAACCAAACAATTAAGTTATAATTAGGAAGAGTGGAGTGTAGATTTAGGATCTAATATAATTAAAAATAGCGTGGTACAGGGGCTGCACACTCAATTAAAACAAAGTTAATATTAAACTAAAAATGAAAAGATTTACAGATAAACGGAAGAAACCTGAGACGATGTTCTCAGATCTGATAAAGAGACAGATAGATAGACAGATAAACAGACAGAGAGATAGATAGACAGAGAAACAGATAGACACATACACGTATAGATAAACAGAGAGACAGGTAGGATATATAAACAGATAGATAAAAAGATAGATAAACTGACATGTAGATAGATATACAGATGGATAGACAGATAGCTAGACAGATAGCTAGACAGATAGCTAGACAGATAGCTATACATATAGCTATACATATAGCTGGACAGATAGCTAGACAGATAGACAGATAGATAGACAGATAGCTAGACAGATAGCTAGACAGATAGCTAGACAGTTAGCTAGACAAATAGCTAGACAGATAGACAGATAGATAAACATATTCTCAAATGAACACTTCTGGGATCTCGAAAATTATGAATGAATTTTGATTGTCAATTGAAACATTTATCAATCTAATATTATTTAGAATGCAGAAAATAAGTTAAACTAACTTCATTTTGACGAGATTTTTTTTGAAATTTTCATGAAAAATTTGCTGAAATGAGTGAAAATAAAAAAAACCGGTGTATTTCCAGGATAAAAATCCGTACAATCCGTACAATTTGAAAAAAAATCCGTACAATCCGTACATTCCGTACAATTTTAGGGTTACAAAATAAAAAATCCGTACAATCCGTACATTTGGGCCACCCTGTATATTATATAAATAAAAAATAAGTTGTTAAACTGCTCTAATTTAGTCAAATAAAAAGTATTTACACGGTACACATATTAACAGGAATCAACAGATTATGAAACTATGAAATTTTCTAAAAAAGGAAACTCTATTTTTACTAATTAAGTAAAGTTAAGCCACCGAGCCACAGAATTGGCTGCCATGCCTCAGATTTGGTTGGACCACAAAACGCCCAGAGTGTCCAAATTAAATTAATTTAAGCCGTGTCTCAAATCCTCCAAAAAACCGGTTTCAATTGAGCTCTGGCTTAAATATTGAAAATTTGAATACAATTCTAAGTGGAACCAACAATGTTTGAGCCCCGGCTTAAATTTATGCCATGGCCCAAGAGGATTCTTTAAATTCGGCCTCAGGAGCTATTTAGAAAATAAGGCTGCATTGCCAACAGTTCAACTCTGTGCCACTGTAAGTAAATTGCTGCAAGGGCTTCAATCACACAATCAGGGTGTTAAGAGCAGGCAGTCAAATTATTAATACAAAAAACAAGGTTTTTAAAACAAATATTTTTTCCAATTAAAAAAAAAACACTAAGAGAGCTACCAAGATAAAGTTATAAAACGGAGTGGAGAGGCTTGAAATAATGTGTACACCCTCAAAAGTTAAAAAAGAAAAAATTGTATGAAAATACATAGATCTAACCTGAGGGACTCCTGAAGACCTTTAATTTGTGAATCTGAAGATGAAAGTTTCTCAACTTGACGTTTATAATCTTCTAATCTAGAATATCAAAAATAAAATATAATCTGTACAAAAAAAGGAACAATCCTGATTTGTTTTACAAAGTTTAATAAAAAACTTAACACAAAATTACAGTGAAACTGTTCAGAAAATATCAGGGGTGTATATTCTAAAGAATTATCCCCCCCGTAATAATTTTCGATGATCAGGGGGAAAAATTAAAAAAATTAGATATCAACTGTCTGGTAATATTTATACTGTCCCAGTGTCTAGTAATATTCATACTGTCCCAGTGTCTAGTAATATTCATACTGTCCCAGTGTCTAGTAATATTCATACTGTCCCGGTGTCTAGAAATTTTCATACTGTCCCAGTGTCTAGTAATATTTGAACTGTCCCAGTGTCCAGTAATATTTAACCTGCCTCAGTGTCTAGTAATATTTAAACTGCCTCAGTGTCCAGTAATATTTAAACTGTCTCAGTGTCTAGTAATATTTAAACTGTCTAATTGTTTGGTAATGTTTAAACTGCCTCAGTGTCTAGCAATGTTTAAACTGTCTCAGTGTCTAGTAATATTTAAGACTGAACCTGTCTAAAAGTTCTGCTTTGCTGTTTATGAGATTAACCAGCTCCTGTTGCAACTCCTCAATCTCCTTTTTAAGTTTGCTGTTTTGTTGCAGCGCCCTGCTCGCTGCCACCTTCATTTTATTTTAGATTATCGTTTAATTAACCACTTTAAAATATCCATGCATTTTTCTGAACCAGAGAATAGGAATAAAGGGAAAGGAAATGGCGCTGATCTGGCATGAGAAAGCCAATCGCACTGCTTTGCAGACGATGTCGTCAATTATAATTTAACTTGAATATAAACGAGTAGTTTATTGTAAACTTTAATCAAATTATATTCTTTGCATGAAAATTTGGCTTTATAGTGTTGACTTAGATATGTAAATAATATAGTGCTTGTATATTAAACTTGTTTTTAAGTAAACAACTAACAATAAACAAATGTACTCTCCTAAACTGTACAAATACCGAGATTTTTATGTAGTGTATATACCTACAGTACACGCCTTCGGTTCGGTATTCATTACACACACTCTTGGTACAGACACACACACATGACGTTTCCGCCCCCTGATCTGAACTAACGATTTAAAAATGTCTAGGAATTTATCTAATTTTATCGCTTTTAAATATCTTAAATAATTATTTATCAATAACAAACCTTATCACTTTCCATAGAAGCGAGCAGTTCGGCTTTATTACGTTCTAAACCTAAAACACCATTGATTAAAAACAAAAATAACAAGAGTATTATTGATAACGCAGACTGCCGTAATTGAACATTTTGAACATTTTACCTGAATCCGTTCTTAACATTTCGTTTGTAGTCTCCAGTCTGGATACCATACCCTACACATCAATCAATCAATCAATCAATTAATAAAAAAATAAATAAATCAACATCTCAATCAATCAATCAACAAATCAGCCAACCAATTAAATAATTAACCAATCAACCAATTCACCAATCAACCAATTCCTTAATCAACCAATTAACCAACCAAGTAACCACCCAATTAACTAAGCACGAACCAACCAATTACCAACCAACTTATTAGCCAAACAACCAACCAACCAACCAACCAACCAACCTGGAGTTCGTTTATTTTCCCTTCTCTCTGAGAAAGTCTCTTGAGTGTATCCTCGACCTGGGCGGATCTAAATAAAAAATAATTTTATTTTATAATTCAAATTTTTAATATCTGGGGAAATTTCAAAAATACAATTTTAAATTTGCTTTTATCTCGGATCAAACAAGAAAATAGAAAAAAATAACGCGATGTTTCATGAAAAGAAATAAAACATCAAAACTGTTTTTTCTGAAGTGTTCTGATTTCGACGTTATAAGCTTGCATGTAGATGGCCTGCAGCGTTGTCTTGAAAAAACCGAGCCCCCCAAAAAAAACAAAGCCTACTTTAAAAATCCACCTGTAAGTGGGCTTTTTTTAAAATTTTATTGATTTCTTTTTAATATTTCTAACTATTGCCCTTTTTCACTCTTATGATAAACTCTTTAAAAAATAAGGTCCACAGTCAACTGATCTTTAGGGAGTTTACAGCACTAAAACTGACACGTTTATTCTTTTCTCATGAGTTTTCAATATACGTTGAGATAGAATAAGGATATAAATTCATTCTTATGTGGGAGTGATCTAAAGTTTTTCGGTATTTAACAGTGGTCTTCCTTCTTGAGCATATACATATCTACCGATTAATCTGAGTAGACCCACCCCCCAATCAGAAATATGTATCCAAGTGAGAAAATAGAAGTAGTCTGAAATTCATAGACTCTAATATTTAAAAGAAGTTGCAGTATTCCCGCTTTGAAGGGAGGTGATATTATTGTATTTGAAGAGTATTTATAAATGATTATAGCCTATTATCACAACATTATTATTGTTCATAACTATAAAGTTAAATTATTGCTTAAATAGTCTTATTATTATGAATAATTATGAATTTTAGTGAGTTTCAACTACTTTCATATTGAAAAACCCCAAAAAAAACTTTCAACTCCAATAGAAACCCCCCAAAAAACAATAAAACCCACTGGGCTGGTTTTTTTGATTTTTTAAACCCGGTTTTTTTTCCAACCCTGGTAGATGGCATATTTTGTCATTTTCCCCTGAAAATACCTCCCCCCCCCACTCCTTCCCTCCATATTTATGGAATACATGTAACACATGTTCGATGAACAGACCCTGACAATTTAAAGATAATAATTCTACCTTTCCGAATACATCTCTTCTAGTTTATTATAAAGCTCCCGGGACTGGCGGAATTCAGATTCCAGGGCGGAGCAGCGATCCTTTAGGGCGGAGTTTTCCTCCTCAGTTACATTCTTTCCGCCCTGCTCAATTCAATGGTCTTTATATTTTAATTTTCAAATAAAAATTTTATTTTGATGTCAACAACATTAAAGTCCAGGAATGTATCTTTGCAACGTGGGATGGGAACCCACGGCCGCCTCGAGCCTCCTAGATTTGCAATGCAGCACCGAGCCTCCGCTTTGCAGTATAAATTTTATACTGAACTTTAAAAGGTTTTTCGCGGGAAGGAAGAATTAAGAAAACAAATTTAAAAATAAATTCGATTTAATTTGTTAAACTCTTTTATTTAAGCGAATATGAGAGGCAACATGCATGGCAAATATGGGAAGCTCATGGCGGCCGGGAGTTTTCTCCCTATTGCAACTGAACCCTGCACATTAATGTGAGCCCAGATCTGTGCCCAAATGAAATGGATCCTATCCAATGATTACTGATAAGTATACTACGGTGGTAGGCGATTATATCAATATAATGAATACGACTTTCTATTCAAGTTTTGAGTTATATAAAGCATTTAAACAGCATGGATTTACAAAAACATGGAAACAAAGAGAAGTTGTTATTTAAAAAAGATAATCTTTAATTGATAATAAACTTGAAACAACACCCTGGCAGTCTCTCCGTATAAATTTAAGTACGAAACGTACGTGTGCAATTCTATCCTCTCAACCCGTCCTGATTAATACAACGATTTGCATAGAACTTATTTTATTTTAAAGAACAATAATCCGCTCGGACCGGCGTAACGGTCAGCGCGTTCAAATATGAAAGTATATATTTACAATGATAAGGTCAAATACAAAATATCTTGATATTTTAGTACAAACTTGTAATTCAAAAAAAGCTTGTTAACGATTAAAACATAACTAATAATGTCGTCTCCATTATATTGATATAATTGCCTACCACCGTAGAATATACCAGTCTACAGATAATCTCAGAGAAAGAAAAAAAAACTGAATGAAAAGGATTTAAGAATAATATATCAACAAATAACTGGATTCTCACGACAAACAAATAAATTATTTAATAAACTAATTCATCAATTATCAAACATCAAATTAAAAATAAGCTGTTAGGGAATGTCGTGGTAATTTCTGAATTAATTAGGACATTACTTATGAAAAGTACAATACACTACCACATTAAAGTTAATACTGTCCTTGTAACTTCAAGCTAAGGACTGTCCTTGTAATTTCATGTTAAAGAATGTCCTTGTAATTTCATGTTAAATACTGTCCTTGTAATTTCAAGTTATGGACTGTCCTTGTAATTTCATGTTAAGGACTGTCCTTGTAATTTCAAGTTAAAGACTGTCCTTGTAATNATATTTCAAGTTTAGCCTAAATATTTCAAGTTTAGTCTAAATATTTTAAGTTGAGTCTTAAAATTTCAAAATTAGCCTAGATTTTTAAATTTAGTCAAAACATTTTAAGTTTAGTGTAAATGTTTCAAGCTTAGTCTAAATATTTCAACATTAACCTAAATATTTGAAGCTTTACCTAAATATTACAACATTAGCCTAAATATTTAAAGTTGAGTCTAAATATTTCAACGTTAGCCTATATATATATTTTAAGGTTTGGTCTAAAAATTTTAACATTAGCCTAAATATTTCAAGTTTAGTCTAAATATTTCAAGTTAAACTAAACATTTCAAGTTGAGCCTAAAAATTTCAAGTTGAGCCTTAATATTTCAACATTAGCCTAATATTTCAAGTGTAGTCTAAACATTTCCAGTTTAGCTGCAAAATATTTCATGTTGAGCCTAAATATTTGAAGTTTGGCCTAAATATTTCAAGTCTACCCTAAATATTTCAATTTTATCCTCAATGTTTCAAGTTTAGCCTAAATATTTTAAGTTGAGCCTTAATATTTCATTTCAACTCCTAATGTTACCAGTTTAGCCTAATTCTTTCAAGTTTAGCAGCTTAGTCTAAATATTTCAAGCTTAGCAGCTAAATATTTCAAGCTTAGTCTAAATATTTCAAGTTTAGTCTAATATTACAAGTTTAGTCTAAATATTTCAAGTTCAGCCTAAATAATCCAAGTTTAACCTAAATATTCCAAGTTTAGTCAAAATATTTCAAGTTTAACCTTATATTTCAAGTTTCGCTAAAATATTTCAAGTTTAGCCAAAATATTTCAACATCAGCCCAAATATTTCAAGTTCAGCCTAAACATTTCATAGGAATTTAGTTTTTGCCACAAACTCATATTTTCTCATCCCTATATCTTTACAACCAGATGGTGTAAACCGATGATATTTCAAACGACTATTTGATCTTTCAGAAATTCTACGACATCGTGTTGCTAAGATATAGGGGGAAAACGTTACGAGTTTGTGGCAAAACCTCATTTCCTTTAGCGTAAATATCTAGAGTCAATCTAAATATTTTAAGTTTAGTCTAAATATTTTAAGTTAACATATTTCAAGTTTAGCCTAAATATTTCAAGCTTAAAAGCTAAATATTTCAAGCTTAAAAGCTAAATATTTCAAGCTTAGAATCTAAATATTTCAAGTTTAGTCTAAATATTTCAAGTTAACATATTTCAAGTTTAGCCTAAATATTTCAAGCTTAAAAGCTAAATAATTCAAGCTTAAAAGCTAAATATTTCAAGTTTAGTCTAAATATTTCAAGTTAACATATTTCAAGTTTAGCCTAAATATTTCAAGCATAAAAGCTAAATACTTCAAATTTAGAAGCTAAATATTTCAAGTTTAGTCTAAATATTTTAAATTACCATATTTCAAGTTTAGCCTAAATATTTCAATCTTAAAAGCTAAATATTTCAAGCTTAGAAGCTAAATATTTCAAGTTTAGCCTAAATATTTCAAGCTTAAAAGCTAAATATTTTAAGTTTAGAAGCTAAATATTTCAAGTTTAGTCTAAATATTTCAAGTTTAGTCTAAATATTTCAAGTTTAGCCTAAATATTTCAAGCTTAAAAGCTAAATACTTCAAGTTTAGAAGCTAAATATTTCAAGTTTAGTCTAAATATTTTAAATTACAATATTTCAAGTTTAGCCTAAATATTTCAAGCTTAAAAGCTAAATATTTCAAGCTTAGAAGCTAAATATTTCAAGTTTAGCCTAAATATTTCAAGCTTAAAAGCTAAGCATTTTAAGTTTAGCCTAAATATTTCAAGTTTGAAAGCTAAATATTTCAAGTTTAGCCTAAATATTTCAAGCTTAAAAGCTAAGCATTTTAAGTTTAGCCTAAATATTTCAAGTTTGAAAGCTAAATATTTCAAGTTTAGCCTAAATATTTCAAGCTTAAAAGCTAAATATTTCAAGCTTAGAAGCTAAATATTTCAAGTTTAGCCTAAATATCATTTGCCGTACACTTGAATGATTTAATGATTGGGTTACTCAATCCCTTTCTTTACCTGAACATATTTTTGCATCTGTTTCTCCATCTGCTCGATTTGACCGACAAGTCCAGATTCACGGTGCACTAACCTGGCATTCTCATCCTGAAGATAGATAGATAGATATATATATATATATATAGAATATAGATATATAGATTATATATTTGATAACATAGATTTTATATATATAGATAGATTATATAAATAGAAAGATAGATTTATAGGATAGATAGATAGATATACAGTGTTAATCAGAAAGACCCGGAATAATTTTACAATTAATCAGACGACTTTACCATCTAATTAAATACAAATATGATTGATAAAACGATATTCACAAAATATCCCTAGTCCTGCAATTTCCAAAATGAGGTCTGCCTTTTTTAACATTTAAAATTGAGAGATATATATGTAAAATCGCCTGATTAACTGTCAATACATTATATAAAGATAGTACGATTCAAAGGAAAGATATATTAGATAAATAGATCGACAGATAGGTAGACGACAGATAGGACAGATAGATGGACAAATAGATAGACAGATAGACAATCAGACAGATAGATTAATAGATAGATAGATAGACAGATAGGTAGAAGACAGATAGGACAGATAGATGAACAAATAGAAAGAAAGACAGATAGACAATTAGACAAATAGATAGATAGCTAGATAGATAGATAGTCAGATAGACAAATAGTCAAATAGACAGCTATATAGATAGATAGATAGATAGATAGATAGATAGACAGATAGATAAATAGACAGATAGACACCTAGATAAATAGACAGATGGATAGAAATATATATATATATGCTATAAATATAGTAATAACTTCCTTAGACAGCTAGATGGACAAATAGATAGATAGACAGACAGACGGACAGAAAGATAGACAGATAGATAGATAGATAGAAAAATATACAGATAGACAGACAGATATAGTTCTTTATTATCTTGCTAAACTTCTCTGCATCTTTCCCACAGCGCGGAGGGACCATTTCAGGGGAAAATACTGTAGCAGGGACGTCAAGCCGGATATTCTGACGCGGCAAGATGTACTGATTTTCTGCCACGTCACCCTTGAAAATCAATCCAATATTTTAAACTTAAAATTTGTATTTTACCAGTAATAAAGTAGTTATTTAAACTAGGCGTTGTTTAAACCGAGCGTAGCTAAACTAAATCAAATTTACCCTGGGGGGAGGGGGGCGGTTAAGTTGACCCACCTATCGTTCTTTTGCGATAACGCAAAGTATTTGAGCAGGACCTCAAATTTTCTGACTTTTCTAACTAACACATGCCTATTACTTAAGGCTAAAAGCTGGGCTTTTGTACCTACTGCTTAAGTCCTCAGGCATACTGCCTAAATGCCTTATTTTACCTATACCAGGCTTAATCTATATTTAGACCTTCTTCCAGTCATTGGATTTTAACATTTTAAAGTGTATAACAAAAGCAACCAGATAGCACAATTTTTGCAAAGAAATTTTGCACAGACGCCTTTAAAGGAAATTTGCAAATTTTCAGTTTTTCTTGAAAACACAATTAGATTTTAATTATTTTGCAAATGTTTTTGCGCATTTGAATTCACTGGATCAAGGGTTTTCAAAAATGTATAATTGTTGCAATTTGCAAATTTTATTTTGACACATTTTTCTTAATATCTAGATTTTGCAACAAATATTTGGATATTTGCAAATTTGCCATTTTTTTGCAAAGTAGAGTCCTAGGGCTTTCCAAAAACGTATCAAATATTATAGATTTGTATCACAATAAGAAAATTGAGAGGGGGTAAAAGGGTTAATTTTTCTCATCTACTCTCTATACTCTGAATCTGAAGGAAAACCAGAGCCCGCGATTTAAAAACTTCGGCTCGAGTCTTAATTCCTTAAACGCAGCTTTAAGACCCAATCTTAGACCCAACTCTGACGACAGCTTGTGTCACGTGATTGACAGCTGCAAGATCTTAGGCTCGACTTGAGGAGTTAGGCCCAATGAAAATAAAACCGACCTTGGTTGGTTTTAGTGGAGAATAAGGCTCAATGTTGGGTCTTATTCTCATCAAAACTCGGAATGCACCAATTCCAACTATGAAAATCCGCCAAAAACAACATTAAACCGGTTTTATGAACTAAATTCTGTTGAAAAATAGATGCAACTTAAATTCGAAAGCCCGAGCCGTAAATAAGGCTCAACAACAGCTTAGACCCGAGTCGTATTTTCTTGAATTTTTTAAATCGCCGGCTCTGACCTCTTAAGACAGGAAAAGTAAGTTGAGCTGAGAAAGTAAGATTTAAATGTCTTCTAAATATGCGAGACAGTGCTTAGAAGGATCCATTTAATTTTGATGCAGATCCGGCTCCTGAGCCCGCGATTTAAAAGCTTCGGCTCGAGTCTTAATTCCTTAAACGCAGCTTTAAGACCCAATCTTAGACCCAACTCTGACAACAGCTTGTGGAGCTTGTGTCACGTGATTGACAGCTGCGAGATCTTAGGCTCGACTTAAGGAGTTAAGCCCAATGAAAATAAAACCGACCTTGGTTGGTTTTAGTGAAGAATAAGGCTCAATGTTGGGTCTTATTCTCATCAAAACCCGGAATGAACCAATTCCAACTATGAAAATCCGCCAAATACAACATTAAACCGGTTTTATGAACTAAATTCTGTTGAAAAATAGATGCAACTTAAACTCGAAAACCCGAGCCGCAAATAAGGCTCAACAACAGCTTAGACCCGAGTCGTATTTTCTTGAATTTTTTAAATCGCCGGCTCTGGATCCGCACTGGAAAAAAATAGATTATCCAGGTTATTTCCATAAAATGTATTGAATTTTCTTCACAATGCAGAATTTTCATTTTTTTTGTCTTTTTTTCGCTTATGTTTATGCTGCAACTTGATGAACCATGAAGAAATTTTGTTTATAAGCTCTTTTTTGGATAGTTCAGATTCGGGGTTTGAGAGTAATTTTTTTGAAGTTCCTAGGATCCGAATCCGTGGCTCCGCATATTTTAGCGGATCCGGATCCTGCGTAGCACTGATGTAATTTGTTTAATATAACTAAATAATCTTGATATTGACCTGCTCTGCTAGCTTCTCTTTATCTGCCGCCAGCTTATCACGACTTCCTAAATAAAATAAAAACATTTTTAAAATCGTTTCTTTTTAATTATTCAAATATCTTCTTACTCAAAGGTTTGCAAGTTTTAGAGATTGCATTTTTTATTTACTTTCACAAGATTGGGTTTTACTATTAACAAAAGTCAGCACAAAACATAAACCCATACTATATCAACCTATAAACTAGTACAAACTACTACCAATTATCAATAAGCATAATGGCCAATTTAACTAACTTTAAATTAAAGCTGTTAAAAAATAATTTGCCAATTTTTTTGTTGTTTTCATTTAAAAGAAAAAGGAATATATCACCCAAACTTAAAAATGGCGGGTCCCTTGAATTATCAAAATGGCGCCAAAAAAAAGTCTCAGATAAACTCAACAAGATGATGTCTAACCTAAAGCTTCAGCTAGAGAGTTCCTTGTGGCTTGAAGTTCTGAGTTAAGATTCTGTATTTCCTGTGTAAATACCTCACCTCCTCCTGTACCTCGCAGCTGGATCAGATGAACCCTAAACAAGGCAGGAGTCTACACACTATATACGGGGGGGTTTATATACAAATGTTAATCTTGAATTGATCAAATTTTAGTGGATAAAACAAATATATTTTTGGATAGATTAAAATGGGACATTAACATTATTAATGTACACATTTTCATTGAAATTTCGGAAAATTAAAAATAACATTTGTACAGAAACACCCTGTACAGTGTATAGTGTACATGATGTTACCTTATCTAAATACTTTGATCCAAAAATTCACTTCAAATTTAGTGGCTAACCCTATTTATGGTTAGGTACTTTCCGTAAGGTTTTTTCCCTAGCGGCAACTTTCCAAGGGTATTTTCCCAAACGACAATTTCCCAAATGTGTAATTTCCCAAGCGGCAACTGTTCCGTCGATCTGTTTCAATAATATATAAACCCCTGGAGAGTGATTGGGGTGATCTGTTTCAATAATATATAAACCCCTGGAGAGTGATTGGGGTGATCTGCTTCATTAAATATATGAAATGAAATGAAAAAGATCGTGGAAGACCCCCAACGTGGGATCCAATAATATATAAACCCCTGGAGAGTGATTAGGGCGATCTGTTCCAATAATATGTATACCCCCATAAAAAAAAAATTATAATGAAATAACTGACTTGTTGATTTCCAGCTCTGAAGTGAGTTTACGCAGCTGAGATTTATCCTTTTCATTCTCCTCACACATACGCCGCAGTTTACCCTGAACACAACATAAATAGTTTAACCTGAAAATAACTATAGAAATCAAAGACGCTTCTTACCACTATTGTCAAATTATTTCAAGAACATAGAGGTGATAACTGAAAAATTTGTTTATAACAGAACAAATATAATTAAATTTAAAGAAAAGGAAAAATAAAATAAATTTTTTTCTATTATTTTTCAGTTTTATAAAGAAGGGATTTAGGTGACATGATTTTGTTCTTTCATTTGGTTCATTCTTAAAAATTAAAGAAAAGGGGTAAATAAATATTTTATTTCATTTCACTGTCATTCATAACATCTTCTGAAATATGAATTATAAATAATTCTTATTTCACAGAAAGTTACAAAAGCTGTTAATATTACGAAAGTACTTAAGTAAGAGAGCAAAACCAAAGTAGAAAACTGGAAAAAACTTTGAATTATTTTGAAAATCCCAACAATTCTATCTAAAATAAGCGCTTAAAAACCTTTTATAATTTTGTACATGCAATATTAATTTTAGTGTTTTCCTTCAAAACTTGATCACTCACTGTATCCTAAATTTTCTAAATTTTCATTAATTCAATAATTTGAATTGATAATACTAAAATGTTCATATATATATATATGAAGTTGTAATCTCTGTTTGTCTGTTTATCCGATCATAACTCAGGAACCCCTGGACCGATTTGCCTCAAACTTTGATTGGGGAACTCGGGAGAGTCACGAGAATGTTCTTAGTTATGCGATTCTAAGTTGAGTGGGTAGACTTTAATGACGAAAATTTAGTTTCCAGGTAAAATCGTTCAAGTGCGGGTAAACGGCGGGAGTAACTATATATGAGTATTGAGTGCTCTGTGCAACACTGGGTTCCCAAGCTAGTAAACTTATAAAACAATTACCAAAGTTAAGAAAACCCCTTCAACTGGATTTAAGCCTTATGTAGATTCTTTGCGATTGATATATACATATTCATAAATAAACAATTTAATATTTCTGAAAAAAAATGACAGAATAGTGTCTTGCCATTTCCGAAATGTAGTCTGACATTTTTGTGCTTTCATAATAACCAGAGATATGAATAAATTCGTTCAGATTGCGACATTTTCATGGTTTTATTAAATAATTGACATTTAAAAAAAGTCTTTAAATCTCTGAAATTTGTGAGAGCAAAAACAGTCAGACCACATTTTGAAAATGGCAGTAATCTTGCTAATCTTTATTTTTTCTTTAAAAATTTTGCTATAATCAGGTTACCTAAAATGAATGAATGCCCCCTAAACTAATTCAAAGGTCCAAGACAACTTTGAAATCATTAATCAATTTATACTATTCAGGGTTATATAAAATATCAAAGTAGGTTTACCTGGAGTTCATTGTTTTCTATACTTTTATCCTCCAGGGTTTCTTCAACTTTCTCTAGCTTAGCTCTTAATTCTTCAACCTAAATCAATAATCTAGAAGTGTAACCACCTTGTAATCCTACTCACCCCCTCACCCCCTACACCTACTCAGCTTTCCCTTTCCCTCCTACCCTCCCACTCTACCACCCTGTAACCCTACTCACTCCCCCCCTACCCCTTACGCCACCCCCTACCCCTTACGCCACCACCTATCACCCTGTCCTACCTAACCTGTCCTACCTATCCCCCTGTCCTACCTATCCCCCTGTCCTACCTATCTCCCCTGTCCTACCTGTTTATTGTTAGAACTAGATTCTCCTATCCTTGTCTTCAGCTCGGAGTTCTGAACTTTTAATCCTAGAAATATTGTTACGTGTTTAATTTACTGTGGAGTAGGAGTAGTAGTAGGAGTAGGAGTCTAACCTGAAAGTTCGGCATTCATTAAATCCTTCTCTTGAAGGAGTAAAGAGCACTGTAGTTCCAGGTAAGATGCCTTAAAGCAAACACAAAATTAGTTTTCCTAAGTTGTGAATTTTAGGTATATTTTCTTGCTTTTCAAATCCAAATACTTCCAAATTATATAATATATAAAAAATGTTTTACTCCTCATACAATCTTATTATTAATTTCAGCAAAGTGGTAAACTAGGGAATGTTATTGAAGGGCCTGATATCTTTATTGTACTTTATATAAGATAATCATATAAATTTTAATCTTTTCTGTGACAAAAATTTCTTCAAAAAAGTCTAAAATAAATATCCGTGAATCAGAATGGTTTTTAAGAAGGGGCAGGACCAGGTGTGGGGAAAATTTTCAAAAACAACAAGCAGTACAAATCTTTTTTTAGATCTAAATATTTATTTTGTAGCAGAGATTAAGATATTACAATCGTATTACAAGTTTATAACTTTCATATATAAATGATTCATATGATAGACACAGATTAGACTTTGAATGCCAGTGCAATATTTCGCAGCTGACTCCCTCGTCATCCATGGGGGGGGGGGAAGCAAAGGGTAAGGACTTGTGTCTCATCTCTACCTGATGTCGTCTAAGCTGTTCTGAGAGTCTTTCAGCTTGCATTGCCAGATCTTTCGAATAATTCCGATACTAAACAAATGATATAATAATTCTGGTAGCAAACAAATAATAAAATGATTCTGGTACTAAACAAATAATATAATAATTCTGGTAGAAAATCAGTAAAATAATAATTCTGGTAGCAAATCAGTAAAATAATAATTCTGGTACAAACAAATAATATAATAATTCTGGTAGCAAACAAGTAAAATAATAATTCTGGCAGCAAATGAGTGAAATAATAATACGGTACTAAATAAATAATATATTAATTCTGGTAGCAAACAAGTAAAATAATAATTCTGGCAGCAAATCAGTGAAATAATAATACTGGTACTAAACAAATAATATAAGAATTCTGGTACTAAACAATAATATAATAATTCTGGTAGCAAACAAGTAAAATAATCCCCTATTCAGTTGGGGGAGACTGAGCAGGGTTAGGGGGAGGGTAAAAATCAATGTACCCTATTATGCATGACCTTGATTTATGTTTTAAACTAACCTTAGACTGAAGCTCAGATTTCTCAGCTATGATGAGTTGAATTGTATTAGTTTTCATATTTAACTCATCTTTCAACTCAGTAATATCTCTAGTCTCAGAACTATAATTATTAAATACGTTTAATCTCATCTGAAGCTCATTTTGTTCTATTAATATAAGGGACTAAAAGCATGATATTTCAAGTGACCCCCTGTATGTCCGATGCCCAACAATACCCTTTTTACATTAAAGTGTATGTTTGTATACTACACCATGTATATTATTACAATAATGAGAAGGATAGCTGTCAATTTTCAAGGGATTTTAAAGAGTAATACCATTTTGGAAATCCTTAAACTTGTTAGAACGATATTTGACCATTTTTTCGATGTTTAGTTTTTTGACAGTCAAATATTTAGACAAATATTTAGCTGAAAATGGTAAAAAAAAACCAAAAATGGCGGGAAAAACAGTAAAATGTCTAGGCCATAGGAAAACTATTTAAAATACTAAAATTTCGTATTTGAGCTAGTTTTACCCTAATGCTTCCTAAAACATGTGTCGCACATCAGAGAATTTTTTCAGGGGCACCCTACCCACTTCCCCTAGAGAAGAGGATACAAAATTAATAATAAATTTGGCATGTTACCTCATTCTAGCTTTCGTCTCAGCTTGCTCTTCGCGTAGCTGTTCTAGACTAGTCTCGCACTGCTCTCTTTCATACTGCTCTGCTGCCAGCTGGGCCTTCAGCTGTTCCTTCTCATGCTGCTCTGCTATCATATGTTCTAGTTCTTCACGAAGCCGAATAATCTCTTGTTTATCCAAATGTGATCTGACTTCCAGTTCTGATATTTTCTCCTTTAACTCAGCCAATTCTAGAATATTAAAGATGTCAGCCAATGTTTAAAATAGAACCATCTATATATAAACATATATGTTGGTTGTCTGTCTGTTATTTTGTTGGTTGGGTTTTTATCCACTGAACGTCAAAAAGGATTGAGCACAAATTTTGAGTAGGACCTAAGCATGAGCCCAGAAAATCAAAATAAAGAATGTTGATAACATTTTTGAGGGGTAAAACCACCGATAAAAAAAGGAAATTTTGAGAAATTTGTCATGGTTATTTTTTGATAATTTACAACAAAAAAAGCAGGACTCACAGAAAGATGGAAATATAAAGCTAAAATTATTTATTAAGCAAGGGGCACAGTAGAGAAAAATGTATAAAACCAACCTGTACTTGAGTTTGAAGTACCAGACAATGGAATTGAAGCAAATTGAGGATTTAGAGTTTGTGGAGAGATGATTGTAAGATTAGAAGACGGAGTAGATGTCGGGGAAGGGACGGATGAAGAAAGAACATGAGATGTTGAATCCTGATATCTCGATATCGGAGCATACTCTGGATTCTCAGATCTTGTTAAATCTGAGAAGGAAAAGTTTTGATGTTCCTCATATGCTGGTTTATCTTGGTGTGCTTGATATGCTTGATGATCTTCAAGTTCTTGATAATTTTGCATTTTCTGATGTTCTTGATAAGCTTGGTGATCTTGATGCTCATGCTGTGCTTGATGTTCCTGATAAGCTTGATTTCCCAGATATCTTTGCTGTAGATAATCTTGGGAAGAGGAGGAAAAATATGTACTCCTGTTCACAAAGATATCTAGTTAACTCAAAAAACAGGGGACTAAGTTATAACCGTGACATAAATGTTTCTTTTAACTAAGTTTTCTATTTACAGTAATTATTAGGTATTGTTGAAATTTTGATTTAAAAAATAATACTGATTAATTAACAGCCAATTCTCCAAAGATCAGAATTTGCTTAAATTCTAGAAATGCTCCATATTTTGAAAATATTTTTTTCCAGTTTTCCAGAAAAAAATGTTTATCTGAGCCCCGGACAGGAATTTTTATTTTTTAAAATGAAAACTAAAGTTATCATTCAGTATTAAAAAATGTTCGGAAAAATATGAAGAAACAATATTGAGAACTATTAGAAATTTAAAGCCAATTGAAAAGGACAACTGAATGGTGATGGAATTATATTTTTCAGTTATTTGATGGTTAAGAAAACATTATGATTTGAAGTTAATTTTTCTGTATTAACCCAAGATTGTGTGGTTTATTAAAGTATATCCTCTCCCTGTCTGACTCCTGCAGATAAAACTGAACTTGATCCAGGTTCTTCTCCTGTTCTAGAGCAGTGTACATCTGCACACCTGGAACTGGGTTCATTTCAGCACCTGGAGCTTGGTTCATTTCAGCACCCGGAGCTGGAACCATAAACATAGATTGATCGATCTGATTAACAACTGCTCCGGAAAATATTGAAGATATGTCAGGACAAATTTCTGCGGGATTACCCGAGGACAGGGTTACAAATGAAGATTCCTGGTGTCCTAAACCCGGCCTGGAGAAGAAGGACACTTCTGGAGAGCTTTGGACCTGGAACCCTTCATTTCCTCCAGGAACCTGGAATCCTTCACTTCCTCCAGGAACCTGGAACCCTTCATTTCCTCCAGGAACCTGGAACCCTTCATTTCCTCCAGGAACCTGGAACCCTTCATTTCCTCCAGGAACCTGGAACCCTTCACTTCCTCCAGGAACCTGGAACCCTTCACTTCCTCCAGATTCTGGGTTAAAGTAAGATGCCAATCCACCACTTGACATTGGAACCTTAAAAAAACTATTTCAAAACTAATGCAATGCTTATCAAATATAATTGAATATGATTGGCAAATATACTTCAATTATAATTTATGCCTATTGGATTTCGTTTCCATTTCGTACAATACAGTACATAGGATTCAGGTCATGATAATCTTTTTCGGTATGTGCTTGCATATGAAAAAATTCCATATTTATTTCATTTTTTGCTTGATTTTATTCTGAATCTAGATGGATCAGTTAGAGGTTAGAAAGATTTTATCAATTTTAGTTAAAGTCAGCAGTTGAGAATTGTATTTTGGGAGCAAACAATTTTTTTTATCAGATTATGAATAATAAGTTGACCCAAGATCCGTCGATAATCCAAAATATTTCGGATCCGGATCCTAAGCAATAGTACGATTATAATAATTAGGTCTTTTCTAGTAAACGCCTTCTGGGCCTTACAGGGACCGTTCACTTATTTAGGTAATTTCGGGGTAAACTAAATAGCTTATTAGCTATTGATAAGTATTGGTCTTACTTAGAAAAGACAACTGTGGCCGGAGAAAAAGCAGATTTGAAGTGAGACTAACACCAATGCTAATAGTCTGTTTAGTCTACCATGAAATTACCCAAATAAGTGAAAGGTCCTTGGTAATTTCCTAGAGAACGATTTTTTGACCCCTCCACCCTGCCCCCCACCCTTCCTATCAATTTAGTAAATGGATCTAAAATGTAAGACATGTGGCCGCAGTGAACGGCCCCTAGCATGTCCTAGCCGCAGCGCTCGGCCCAGAAAGTGTCTTAACTTAACCTAACTCGTGGCCGCAACGCTCGGTCCCCTAGCCTGTCCTAGCCGCAGCGCTCGGCCCAGAAAGTGTCTTAACCTAACCTAACCCTGAATAATACAAAATAGCTTAAAATCAAAGGTCATGTACAAAATTGATAGAAGGGTGGGGG